TTGTTTCCATTTTCCCCGTGTGATTTTATCAAGATTTATCTTATCCACGTTTTCATTGTGGATTTACATGATATATATATATATATGTATGTATGAATCTAAGTACGTATGTATGTATGTATGTATGTATGTATGTATGTATGTATGTATGTATGTATATATATATATATATATATATATATATATATATATATATATATATATATATATATATATATATATATATATATATATATATATACATATATATATAAATATATATATATAAATATATATATATATATATATATATATATATATATATATATATATACATATATATATATATATATATATATATATATATATATATATATATATATATATATATATATATATATATATACTATATATATATAGATATATATATATATATATATATATATATATATATATATATACAGTATTACCCTAACGTTGTTCACTTTAATTCAGTTTTATCATATACGTGTGCCTCGCCAGAGCTGAACTTTCACTTAACACGATTTTTTCCACATATACGTGAGTCCGTCGAGTCGCTATTTTTAGATTTGCCCCGCGCCACCCTGCCTGACTGCCTGTTTAGCTCATAAAATTCATACAAATTACTACAGAATATAATTTACATTGCTGGAATTCTTATAATTTGGGATCATTTTAATATAAACATCATATTTTGCATTAAACATACAATTTTTAGATAAAATTTTTTCAGGAACTATGTTATTTTGTGCAAAATATATGACATTTATATTCAAAATATTCCTGGTCTTACAAGGAATCCAGCAATGTCAATTATATTATCCTAACTTTAGTTTGAGGTATTATTTATTAAAATTTAGTGGTTATCCCACACATCTCCTTGGGACGGTTGGTGGGGGTGGGGGGGAGGGAGGGACCACCGACTATCTGTTACCCGGTGAAGAATTATTTTTTTTTTATACTGAAGATATTTGTTTTAGCTCATAAAATTCATACAAATTACCCGTCAGAATATAATTTTCATTGCTGGAATTTTATAATTTGGTGATCATTTTGAATATAAACATCATATATTTTGCATTAAACATACAATTTTTAGATAAAATTTTTCAGGTAACTATGTTATCTTTTGTGCAAAATATATGACATTTATATTCAAAATATTCCTGGTCTTATATGAATCCAGCAATGTCAATTATATTATCCTAACTTTAATCTGAGGTATTATTTTACTAAATGTTAAAAACTCTGGAAGGAGATGGTGGGGGATGGGGGAGGGTTGGGACTGACCGTGTTGGAAGAGGGGGGAGGCAAGGTGGGGACTTGATTGACAGATAGTGTTGTGAAGATTATTTTTTTTTATTAACTGAAGATATTTGTTTTAGCTGATAAAATTCATACAAATTACCAGGTCAGAATATAATTTACATTGCTGGAATTCTTATAATTTGGTGATCATTTGAATATAAACATCATATATTTTGCATTAAACATACAATTTTTAGATAAAATTTTCTCTCTAGGTAACTATGTTATCTTTTGTGCAAAATATATGACATTTATATTCAAAATATTCCTGGTCTTACAAGGAATCCAGCAATGTCAATTGTATTATCCTAACTTAGTTTGAGGTATTATTTATTAAAATTTAGTGGTTTTCCCCAAAAATTTCTCTGAGAGGAAGAGCCAGTGAGTGTAGTGTGAGAAGAGGAGGGAGTTGAGTCCATTATTTGAATGGACATTAACTTGGCGACTGTATTTCTATTTCTCTTAAGTATTAATTGTGTGCATGTACCATCATAAAATTAAGATGTTATTTTTACTACAACATAGGTATGTGCCTTCAAAAAGTGGAGTTTGGAGGTCGGGCGGTTTCTATTGGAATTAATCCCATATGTTCTGTTGTTCACTTAACGCGGTTTCACTTTAACACGTACCCTGCGTGGTTTTATTGACCGTGCTAAGCGGGTACTACTGTACAGTGGTCCCTGATTAACTAGCGCCTCGGTTAACGAGATTTCGTTAACGAAGTACCTTCCATAAGATTCTTAACTCGGTTAACGTTAAATCCTCGATTAACGAGTTTACTGAGCTGACCTGAACATGTTTTCGCTTGCATTTGGCGTCCACCAGCTGTAGTATTAGTCCGCCAATACAGTATCGTTCTAGGGCTTAAATTCTTACCATTTACAAATATCAAGAAGTTTACAGTATACTATTCAATAATTTTAAAAGTTTAATATTAAATTTTTTAGTCATTTTAATAATTATTGAACATAATTGAAGGGAATGAAACTAGTTTTATGCATGCCATCCAGCCTCTCAACACACCATACAGGCGTCAGTCTCTGTGTCTTTTCAGTGGAGGTAACATCTTGCTTGAGACCCTCTTCAACTGAACGCTTTTTTTCTGTGTTTGCAAGCAAATTATTGTCATTTGAAATTTATTTATATTGACAATATATAATGCAGTGCAGTGTTGATTTTCTACCTTTTGTTGAATTTAGGCAATTTTAGTGAGCTGGAACCAATACCCAAAAACCCATTAAACAATGGTTTCGGATAACGAGTTTTTGGTTTAACGAGCAACCTTCTAGACGGTTGGTAACAAGTTAACTGAGGACCACTATATATATATATATATATATATATATATATATATATATATATATATATATATATATATATATATATATATATATATATATATATATATATATATATATATATAAAACAAAGAAGTATGTCTGTTTGTTTGCGTGTCGTGTGTTTGTGTCCGTACAAGAATCTCGGAAACTACTTTACCGATCTGTAGTGATGCTGGATGGTATTATATGTAGTGATGATGGATGGTGTTATATGTAGTGATGCTGGATGGTGTTATATGTAGTGATGATGGATGGTGTTATATGTAGTGATGATGGATGATGTTATATGTAGTAATGATTAGACAATAAAATAATAACAGTTTAATGGTGGTGGTGCTGGGGCCCCTCCCCCACCTAGTCAATCTCCACAACCAGGACCTTCTTCCTCATCAGAATAAAGTGAGTATCCTCATTAGGATATGTAAATTAACATTTTACCTTCCGGTAAATGTTCCTAATATTGGAAAATATTCCAAACAGTTTATAATTATAATCTGGACCTAAGCTAGCAGAGCCTTATACACAACGTCACCTCCTCTCCACCTCCTGCTCGAGTATCAGCAGACGGACTGGATTTTTTCAAACCAGTTTTGCATACACGTTTATGATTCCACCACCCAACCTCAGAGCCATATTTGTCTACTGCTCGCTCTAGGGCAAGAGATGACGGTGGCAGTTCGTGTGATGGAGGGTGTGGGAGGGGGTTTTGCGAATTGCAATTAAATGCCAGGTAGTGACGTGTCCTCTTAATATTACGTATTTAAGTAATTGTTTGATGTTTTAATTGCCTGTATGTTGGCCTGGTGAGTTAGTGCTAGGCATTTACACACCTAGGTATAAAGCTAGACGTCGCATTTTTGACTACAGTATTACCCCGCTTTACACGGTTTCACTTTCCGCGATTTCTCATTTACGCGGTACCTTGCCAGAACCGGACTTTCACTTTCCGCGGTGCATCTACTCATATACGCGGTGAAGTATACTTTTTTTTTTTTTTATTTAGCTCATAAAATTCATACAAATTACCCGTCCAGAATATAATTTACATTGCTGGAATTCTTACAATATGATGATCATTTTTAATATAAACATCATGGATTTTGCATTAGACATACAAATTTTAGATCTAATGTAATAATTTGGTTTACACAAAGCAAATATTTTTTCTTTTGTGCAAAATATATGAAGTTTACATTCAATATATTCCCTGACCTGCAAGGAATCCAGAAATGTCAATTATATTATCCTAACTTTAGTCTGAGGTATTATTTATTACTATACTTAAAATCTAGTGTTTTCACCCAAACATTTCTCAGAGAGGTAGAAGCCAGTGAGTTGGGAAGAGGGGGTGGGGGGGAGTTGAGTCCATTATTTGAATGGACATTAACCTGGCGACTGTATATCTCTTAAATATTAATTGTGTGAGCATACCATCATAAAATTAAGATGTTATATTACTACAACATAGGTATTGTGTCGGAAAAAGTGGAGTTTGGGGGTCAGGCCAGTCTTTATTGGAATTAATCCCATATGTTCTGTTGTTCACTTTACGCGGTTTTCACTTTCCGCGGTACCCTGTGGGTTCAATTGACTGCGTAAATCTGGGTACCACTGTATATCACAAAAACTGGTTTTAGAAGAAAAAAAAAAGTCTTTTTCCACTTGCATTTTCAGGTAGATATACAGGTATCCCTCAATAAACAAACGTTCATGATACAAAAGTTCGCTTCTGTGAATTTCCTAAATTGACACAACTGTTTCAGAGATATGCAAGGTTCCCCCACTTAAAATGGTATGAACCCTCATCTCCGTTGTCAGACTGACTCCACCTCCTCCACTTTCATCTCAAACAACCATCTTCTCTTGTGGTGAATGTTAAAACAATCTTAAAAGCTTATTTACATTTCTTATGGTTAAACATAATTTGGATTTCAAGGGATTTATCATTAGAAGCTGTCAAGAGGGTCATACTCCACTTCCTATTATTTTATCATGTTCATTCTCCACCTTCCTTCATGGCTCCATACAGCAACATACACTAACACAATGTAACAAGCATTTTCCCCCTTTTCCTGTTTCTATTTTATTAATGAATTATATTATTAAGCTAAAACACAGTTGAATCCTTGTCAGTCACGTTGGTGTTCTTGAACTTACTAATGGACCCCCTATCTCCTTACTTACCATTGAATCAATGGTTACTACAATGCAATTTTTCAATAATGCGGTGTTTTTCAGGAACGCAACTATGTATTGCGTTATAGGAGAACTGACTTTACCTAACAGTTACAGTGAATATCACATACACAACACCATGTGCATTTAAATTTAAATGCACACGATAATACTCACCTTAATGAGAGAAGATATTCCTTGCATGGTACTTCCAACATAGCCTTCTGCCATTGCGGGGTCAATCAACGATGTGTTTAGCAAAATCATTGTCATACACTTCCCACACAGCTGTTACACCAAAAAGTTACAAAATAAATTAACATTGTGTGGAATTATGAACTATTTTATCTATTATTTCTGAAAAACATGATATCTGTAAAACACATACCCCCCATTGAACCCCATACCGTATGCACATCATGAAAAAAGTTTAAGATATAAATAAAGATGAAAATATATGCAGTCGTCTAACATCTCACAATAGGCAAATCTATTACCCTTCCAACATATTTGTATAAAATTACAAAAGGCTTTCATGGAAAAAATTAGTGGTAAATTTTACAAAGGGAAAACCCCACAGTTGGTCAGTGTTGGGACCCTATCAAATTGATGGAGTTTCCATATATTTTCCTAACATGTAATTATCATATGTATAACCAGCCATGTCTTGACAGGTAAGATGATGTTGACCTAGTCATGTCCTGTGGTCAGTTGCATATCATATAGTGGGAAAGCTCCAGCACAAAACCATAAACTGTCCCTTTCCAGTGAGTCTATAGATGCATATAGAAGTGCTTTGGTGGTTTAGATACAGTATAAGGAGAAGGTGTCCAGAGGCTAATAGATGTCACTAGGCTGACCTGCTGGTTACAGCTACACTTAGTTCTCTGGCTGAGGTAAAGAAACCAGGAAAAGTATATAGTTTAACCTCCCTTATGTAATACAGTACCCATACTGCAGTGATGATTTATGATGTCTTATGTGATTGAATACATAAAAAAAAAAAAAAAATCACCCTTTTTTGCAAATTCTAACATCAATGAGAATAATATGCCATGCTTAGTGCCAGTGTATGGACACACATCCTACTACCATCCATTAGATGTCCTTAAGTCCTCCAGCTCAGAAAATATTCAGAATACTTCATGTTTACATGTACTTTTACTTTTATCCTCTTCAGCACTGATCGGCTCGTTAGCCGCTTGGGCGATTGGTCACGTCTCTGTCATGCACTGTTGGCAAGTACTAGGCATGTACTGGCTCTCTGTTACGCACTGTTAGCAGGTACTGGGCGTGAACCGGCTCCTGAATGTACCTGAACCTGCTCCAGTGTTGGTCAAGTCTGGTCTTGAAAGAGCTCACACTCGGTGCCGTCACAACACTTTCTGGTAGAATGTTCCAAGAGTTCACAACTCTCACTCTGAAAAAGCTTGCCCTCACAGTTTTCTGGACTTGCGGCTTCTTCAATCTTGAGCTGTGACCCCTTGTGGGGCGAGCGTCCGCCAGCTCCAAGTAAGGACACTAAACTGAGTAGTGCCCCTTGAGATGCTTATTCACCTCAATTAGGTCGCCCCTTGCCCATCTGTCGTATAAGCTAGGCAAGTTCAGGAGCTCCAATCTCTCAGGTTATATGAGGTGCCGAAGTATTGTAGCTCAGAGCTAGTATTCCCCCAACAACAGAATATATAGACAGGTCAAATAATTGCCTATATCAAGGCATAAAAAATTAGTAAAGAGATTCTATAAAGTATCAAAGCACCGATTTATTGTTTTTGGTGTACTGGAGGTTGTGGTTAAATGGATTACCTGAAGTTTTCTCTATTTGTTTATTTTTCAAGTACAGTAAGTCCTCGTATAAAGTCCACCCGCTTAACGTTGTTTCGGTACTACGTTGCTAATCTTTAGATACCCAAAAATTCATTTAACGTCCCGATGACTCGGTATAATGTTGTTTTGCGCCGTCGGGGACTACTCTTTATGGCGCATCACCTTCTCTCGGCTCGGCAGTCTCAGTGACTCGCCACCCTCCTCCTCTCCCGCCCTCCGCCGTTCCCATCCTCCTCCTCCGCCACTGCCATACTCCTCCCACGAATCCCCCACCCTACCTCCACCTGACATTGCATCAAGTCAGATCAGTTACACAAGACCCACTAATCCCCCACAGCTCTATGGGAGTGAAAAATAGCAGTCATAGCTGTAACACACAGCTTCATTCATGCCCATATCCTATAGATTTTTAATTTTTAAATGTATTTATTTAACCAAACATTTAGATAAACTATTCTGGATTATTATAGTAAAGAAATTAAGTTTCTCACTTAATTAGAACTGTATTTATGGATTACAATAGTTTCGACTCAAGGAAAAAATCTCCAGCACCCAGGAACATCCTGGGGAAAAGGGCTAGTTTGTCGTCTGTGCACGAGGTCTAGTTTAGACACTCGGAAACTTTTACCAGTAACCGGAAAAGGTTCTGGGGATATGGAATTTTTCCAAATTTGAGAAAGTCATCTTATTACACGGAAATCTCTCATCCCCGGAAGTGCTCTGTACCAATTGTTCCGGCTAATGGGGATATCACTCAATTCAAATTTTCAACTAAGGTATGGATCTCTATAGCTATGCATGTGCAATTGTTTCTTATAATGTAATACCTTGATAAACACTTATAATAATCAACTCATGAATCTTAAGTAACAAACAATGTATGGATAAAAATAATTATTTCTATGTAACTTACCATATCAACAGCCATATCTCTTCCATTCAGGTCTATTGTATCTCCGTCACCAATAATGGCTGACACAGTGGACATTTGTTGTGTGCAGTCATCCAAGTTATCCACATTATTGCTCTCAAGGTTTTTAAACATGCGTTTTTTAAATTTAGCAGCTTCTGTTTGTATTTTGTCCAATTCTATCTTTTTCTTCTTTTCAATCGCCTTCTGCAGCTCAGGGTCCATGGTAGTGGTCTTTACATCTTCTTGAGGAGAAGCAGGGGTTGTGGTGGTTATTTCCCACTAAGGAGAAACATAAATGTGTAAAATTATACAATACATCTTAATATATTTTGATTCCTAATTAACAGCTATAAAAAAAGAAAGACTATTGCCACAGTGCATCAGAAGAGAGAGCTATACACACCCTTATTTGTGTGCGTTCATTACAGCAAGGAATTAACACCTTATTCAGACTTAAATAAAAAATCCACAATACTATTATATTGTTATGTGTGAATATTTATTGTTACAGCATGCCCTGAAAATTTGCGGGGGTTTGGGTCTCAAAATGTCATAATGGGGGGGGGTACATTTTTACTCATGTACAAAGAAATTTATATTCCCTTTGTGTGTTTGCACTTAGGACAATTATTTCTTTTACCTGCATTGGATATGTGTGTGTGTGTGTGTTGCAAGCAGAGTGGTGAAATGCATCTAGTGTGGTAGCACTGTGTTAGTGCTTGTTCCCTCTCTTTTACTTTTTTCTTTTATCCTCTTCACCGCTGATCGGCTCGTTGGCCACTTGGGCGATCGGTCACGTCTCTGTCACGCACTGTTGACAAGTACAGGGCATGCACCGGCTCCTGAATGTACCTGAACCTGCTCCAGTGTTGGTCAAGTCTGGTCTTGAAAGAGCTCACACTCAGTGCCATCACAACACTTTCTGGTAGATTATTCCAAGAGTTCACAAATCTCACTCCGAAAAAGTTTGCCCTCTCAGTTTTCTGGACTTGCTGCTTCTTCAATCTTGAGCTGTGACCCCTTGTGGGGCGAGCGTCTGCCAGCTCCAAGTAAGGACGCTCGACTGAGTAGTGCCCCTTGAGATACTTATACACCTCAATTAGGTCGCCCCTTGCCCGTCTGTAGTATAAGCTAGGCAAGTTCAGGCGCTCCAATCTCTCAGGGTAGCTGAGGTGCCGAAGTGCAGGCACCAGTCTGGTGGCCCTCCTTTGAACATTTTCAATCAACTGACAGTCCCTAGCATATCTCGGGGACCAGACAGGGTGACAGTACTCCAGATGGGGAAGCACTTCACTCTTGAAGATCATTACGAGGGACGGACAGTCTAGATATCTGAACGACCTTCTTATAAAACCCAATAATTTATTTGCCTGATTTACCTTCTTCTCGCAATGGCCTGAGAACTTCAGCTCATTGTCAACATACACACCAAGGTCCTTCTCACATTCAGTCTCAAATAGTGCAGTTTCTTCATCCCACTGCTGGCTAGCCCTCGTGGCGAACAGGGAAGCAACTTGCATAAGTCTTCCCCGGCCAGTACACAGCCTCTTCACCATCAAGACTCCTGCTGTGCCTCCTCATGGCAACACACAGTAACTGGGTGCCTTGTAGGCCCAGGCTAGACAAACAGGGGATCTCGGAGTAGCAATGGGCCCCAGAGGGACAGAGCATAGGCCAACTGGCATGTAGACACGTTCTGGCACCTACCAGCCATTGCCCAGCTGCCTTGCAGATTAACCTTGGTAGGTATAAGGCTACGGGAGAAAACCCCGAATGAAAAATCTGTGGCGGAGCCCCGCATCAGGCAGACATGCTTACAGAGCTCCAACAAGACCCCAACGGCAGTATAGGTATCAGAGGTGATCACCATGGGAACCTAACAACTACACTGGCAGACAAAGGCAATGCATGATGGACAGGCTACTAAGGCGAAACCCAACAAACTGGGCTATTGGCAGTCCATTGCAACTCTCCCTCTCCTCAGTCATTGCAACACTTGCACCACTGGATCAGGAAAAGGGAGAGCCAAGATGTGTGGTTGCAGCCTGCGCTCCTGCCTCACCATATAAATCAACTCACGCTCAGCCATCATCCATTTCATCATACCTCTCATCATCATGAAAACACCTTAACCCCCAAAGGTCCTATGGAGGCGGACGAGTGGCGACGGGGACAGGCAGAGATGACTGCCGGGAGTCTCGAATCACAACTCTGCACATGGGTGGCACAGATAAGATGGTCGTTTATGCACTGGGATCTAGGCAGCAGTGCAATCCGGTCCTGTCTGTGTGACTGAGCAGCCCTTTCGAGGAGCCACTCTGCTCACCCCACATGAGGAGGGGGCTAGAAAAGGTGCCCTAAACATAGCCTGCCTAAAAACCCAACCTGACTGGACAACCGCACCCAGTAAGGTCATCCTTATGTGGTCGAAAACACAGTGAAAATCACAGATCCAAACAAAAACAAACCATACAACCTCTTATGGTCACTGCATGGAATGTCAGGACCCTTCTGGATACTGGCACAAATGAGCGTCCTGAAAGAAGAACCGCCCTTGTGGCAAAAGAGCTGGCTAGGTATAACTTTGACATAACAGCCATCAGTGAGTCCCGGTTCCCAGATGAGGGCCAGTTCACAGAACAGGGGTCTGGCCATACCTTCTTCTGGAAGGGTAAACCTGCTGTGGAGAGAAACCGCATTTATGGAGTTGGCTTTGCCATCTGCCAATGCATCCTACATAGGCTAACTGAAATGCCTATTGAGATCAACGAGCACCTCTTGACGCTTCCTGTCCCACTGGATCACTCATGTCATGCCTTTTTCATCAGTGCATGCGCCGCAACACTAGGTGCAGAGGATGACATCAAGGAGGCCTTTTATCCTGACCTTGACAGAGTGCTATCCTCTATCCCCAGAAAAGACAAGGTTGTGCTCCTTGGTGACTTCAATGCCAGAATTGGCAGAGATGCTAGCATTTGGCAGGGAACCATAGGGAGAAATGGACTCGGCAAGTGTAATGCCAACGGCCTACTCCTCCTCAGCAAGTGTGCTGCACACAGCCTCACTATCACCAATACCTTGTTTCGGCAGGACGACAAGTTCAAGGGTTCATGGCAACATCCACGATCCAAACAGTGGCATCTCATTGACTACATCATAGTCAGAGAAAGAGAGCTCTGAGATGTCCTCATCACCCGTGCCATGCGTGACTCAGACCACTGTGGCACTGATCATCGACTTGTCAGAGCCAAGCACTCACTTCACGTTGCCCCAAAACTGCGAAGGCAGCAATCCTCCAGATGAGAATTTAATACTAAGTGTCTGGAGGATCCAGCAGTACCACATGCGAATCCCAGTGCCAAATGGGATACTCTCACCACTGTTATGAAAAAACCTGCATAGAAACCCTCGGCCAGATCAAAAGAATACACCAGGACTAGTTTGATGAAAATGACCCGGCAATCAAAGTTCTCATCGATGATAAACGTGCTGCTTTTACTGACTGGTAGAACAACCCTCAGTAAGGAACAAAGCTAATACCTTCCGCAAGAAGAAAGCGCAAGTCCAGTGGGACCTTCGCATTCTAAAGAATGACTGGCTTAAAAATAAAGCATGTGAAGCACAAAAACTTGCAGATCAGCACAAGCTGCGCAAATTTTTAAATTCCATTAAAACATTTTATGGGCCAACCACTCATGGCATAGACCCCCTCCGCTCATCTGACGGTAACTTCATAATTAAAGACGATGAAGACCTCCTTCAGCACTGGAAAGAGCACTACCATTCATTGCTCAACCAAAACACCGATGTGGATGTCCTGACTACCCAGCAGGTCCCTCAGCATCCCGAGCTGACCAACCTCAACCATCCTCCATCCCTGGATGAGGTAGTTACTGCCATCAAACAGATGAAAAATAACAAATCCTCAGGGCCTGATGGAATCCCAGCCGAGGTGTATAAAGCAGGAGGGACTCTGCTTACCGGCCGTCTCCACTCTCTCCTGGAGAATAGTATATGGGAAAAGGAGGAAATCCCCCAAGCTCTTAAAGACGCCTCCATTGTCAATATTTATATGAAAAAGGGAGACCGGTCAGACTGTGGCAACTACCACGGGATGTAGCTGCCCTTCGTAGCTGGCAAGATTATACCCGAGTCCTCCTAAACAGACTTCTTCCTGAGGCGAAAACTTCCTCCCAGAACCTCAATGTGGCTTTAAACCATCACGTGGCACTACTGACATGATTTTTACTGCCCGCCATTTACAGGAAAAGTGCAGAGAACAGTGTCGTGACCTGTACATGGCTTTCATCAACCTAACCAAGGCCTTCGACTCGGTCATCAGGGAAGCCCTCTGGTGGACCCTCAGCCGTTTTGGCTGCCCACCAAAATTCATCGCCAATGTGAGGCAACTCCATGATGGCATGAACAGCAGTGTCCTGCACAACGGCACCCAGTCAGAGTTCTTCCCCATCCAAACAGGGGTTAAACAAGGGTGTGTACTGGCACTAACTCTCTTTTCCATTTTCTTGACTGCCTTCCTTACTCATGCCAGTGCCAATTTAGCCGGCGGGGTGGACATCGAGTATCGGGTGAAGGGTCTTTTCAACATAAGACGACTCCAAGCAAGAACAAAGGTGTCGGCAGATTCCGTTACTGAACTTCAATATGCAGACAACCTAACCCTTGTTACTCACACTGTACGCGACCTACAGGAGATCCTGATCACCTACGCAGATGTATGCGCACTTCGGTCTTGAGGTGAATGTACGTAAGACTCAGATTCTCTTTCAACCTGCCCCAGGTTCAGACACACCTCCACCATCCATTCACCTTAACGGTACTACCCTCTCTAATGTTACCAACTTTCGGTATCTCGGCTGACACCTGTCCACCATCGCAGACATCGATGAAAAAATTCAGCACCGGATCAGATGTGCATCTCAAGCCTTCGGAGGACTCCGAAACCGTGTCTTCAGCTGTAGGGACCTGAAATTATCTACAAAGCTGTATGAATATCAAGCAGTGGTCCTCCTACCTTGCTATATGGCAGTGAGACATGGATCACATACAGGAAGCACCTCAAGGCACTTGAAAACTTTTACCAACATAGTCTACGTTCCATCCTCTGAGTTTGCTGGGAAAACAAGAGAACAAATGCCAATATTCTTGCTGACACCAACTGTAGGAGCATTGAGGCTACCATTATCCATGAACAGCTATGCTGGACTGGCCATGTTACCTGCCAAAGCAGCTACTTTACAGTCACCTAACAAATAGTAAACGTAATGCCAGCAGACAATTGAAAAGGTATAAGGATAGTCTTACGACAAACATGAAAAAGTGCCAAATCGCCCCCCCTCACCTGGGAGATGATTACTCCACATCATAATGCTTGGAGGAGCACCACACGAGAAGGTGTGATTACTTTCGAGTTAGCCCAACTGCAAACAAAGGCAGACAAGCGCCAATGCCGGAAAGACACTGCCACCGCCCCTCCCGCACTAGATGCAGCCCTCCACATGTGCAACGAATGTGGACGACCCTGCGGGTCCCATATCAGCCTCTTTAGTCACCTCAAAACTCACCAACCTAGGTGACATCCCTAATAACTTATATCATTATATCATAACTGGATGATCGTCATACTCGATTCCGGGTGACAACAAAGTAGTAGTAGTAGTGTGTTTGTAGACATATACATACACACACACACAAACAAAACATATAAAAATAAATAATAATGGTAAAATCCTCTCACAAATAATCAGAAAAAAGAGAACAAAATGCATTAAAATATAGAAAAAATGTGAGGCTACCCTTAAGTCAACTACATGCCTTGCATTAAAGTTAAGTTGGTTGGGTTACCATATGGCAATTTTTTCCTTGTAAAAATTAATGTCTAGAATGAATGGCTCCCTGTCCTGGCCGTGAAAATGGCGGCAACTTTGAAACCACCTGCAAGCATTCTTGGGTACATCCAGGCCACAAATAATCAAAGACTGTGAATTAAAAATCCATGAGTTGTCAAGGCATGCTGTAATTACTGTACTATATACTGCACTATACTCTTACTCACAGAAATATCTTTTCTTTTCTACTTCCTTGAAATTATCTCTTAAAAAATATCTATTGTCTAAGTATGACTATTTCTTGTAATACCTACTATATTTACAGTACCTGCTTTTATGGTACCATCAAAACCGTTTTATCAGAAATTACCATGTACTGTAGATAGATAAGAAATTACCATTGCAATAAATATATTTGCCAACTAGAAATAATCCTGACAGCTCTGTCCTCTTGTTTAACCTTAATACTGTACAACCCATGTTGTACTGCTCCCCCATTATACTTATGTTTTTCAATTCCACTGTAATTTATGTATAATACTTAAAAATGTAAAAAAAAAAAAAATTGATAACTGTGGTAACATACTGATAAGTTCTTATTACCACCATGCTATGTGTACTATTCCAGATGATACTAAATGTTACATAATACTTCCCTGAGATAAATGTAACAGTACAGGTATATATCAGGTGCCTACAAGAGAGATCAGGCTCTCAACTGGCTCAGCCATGTTAACATTGTTATTATTATCCACTCTGTACCTGTGTTTTTCTGGCTAAATAAACTGTTTCAATTCAATTCAATTAAAAGATTAAATATTGTTCATAAATATAAGGGAGAGTTCATATTCAACGAGTTAAGTTCTGGGAAGTTTGCTCGTACCACCCAAGCCTCACTAACCCAAACACATTTTAACTGGGTTGTTCCTGTATTAATAAAATAGATATTATCATTCTAAAAAATCTGTACTGACAACAGGAAGCTTTGCTGTTATTTAAAATTGAGTTTACTTGGTGGTTTCAATCTATGGTAAAAATATTTTAATTCTAACTAATGCTAAATAACACTAAAAAATAACACATTGCTGAAAACACCCTACCGGATCATCTGAAAGCTCCTTGTTAGCTATGGATGTTTCTGCAATACTCAATTGGCTGATTCTCGCCTGGTTTCCTTCTCCAAGGGCTCGTTCGAGTTCTTGCCTTTTATTCCATTCTCTTCTTTCTCTTCTACTTGGCAGAGATGTCTATAAAGAAAACAGAAATTTACTAAATGTAAAAACTTACCTCAAGACATAGGAATATATCAGACAAATGAAAATGGTGTATTTCCCCAAAGAAAACAAGGACATGTTATCCTCGGTCTGCTCTGCCACACTTACCTCAGGGTTAGCAAACAAAGGCTTCCACATATGTAGTACAGTTGCAACATTAATCTTACGCCATGCATCACTAATTCTGTCCCTGCATTTTAATATTATATTTCTTCCAAAATTCACAGACTGATAACACTTCATGGCTGGGGGGTGGTGCTTGTGAAGTGCTAGGAGTTGGGTTGTCTACCAACTCCTCTTCCTCCTTCTGGTTAACTGGTGTTGGCAGATCCTTGACACTGTCAGAGAGTTCTGCCTAGATTTGTTGTAACTCAACTAATGAGTCTGTCTGTTGACAAACGTCTTTATAGAGTGAATGATAGTAGAACAGTTTCACGTTACTGATGAATTCATGGTCAAGTGGCTGCAGAAGTGATGTGGTGTTAGGAGGAAGGAAGATAACTTGAACATTAGGGTGGCGTCCAATTAGAAGCTTGAGTGTCCAGGAGCATTATCCGTCACCAGGATCAGTTTGATGTCAATGTTCTCTCTCCAACAGTACTGTTGGGCATCAGGAACAAAGTGCTTGTCAAACCAATCATTCATATAGAAGTTGTATCCCAAGCCATCTTATTAAACGTTCAATAAGCACTGAGCTGTGACATATTGGCTTGACGTAATGAGGGGGATGAAATTTTTTTTTTTCTATTATTATTATATCTGTGTAGGAAGAGTTATTTTCTTTTATATATATACAAGTTCTGTATTTTCTATTTCTCTTTTCTATTATTATATATTACTTCTATATCATCTTCTTTAATTATCTTAGTTATACAGTATTACTTCCAGGCAAGAGATGAGCTTCGCAGGGCGCATGGAGGCTGGTTGAGAGAGGGACTTTCAAAATAGCAATTAAATGCCAGGTAGAGACGTGTCCTCCTAATATTACTTATTAAGTAATTATTAGATGTTTTAATTGCCTGTATGTTGGCCTGGCGAATTGGCTAGGAATTAACATACCTAGATAGCATTGCTGATCGTCGCATTCGAGCTATATCACAAAAACTGGTCTTTAGAAAAAAAACTGCTTATTTCCTTTTCTATATTTTTCTATTTTCTATGTTTTTATTTCTATTTATGTTTTCTAAGTTAATATCTTTTCAAAGTCTTTATTTCAGTCTACTTATTTCTATCTGGTTATTTTCTATACAGTATTTCACTTTTCTTATTTACTGTTTCTTTCTTTCAGTGTCATTATTTATTCTAATATTTTCTTCTCACTTTTTTCTCTCAATTTTTTATCATGCTTAGTTATATTCTATTCAATGGATTAACCTGGGAAAATCATATCATTCTTTACAACACCTATTAAAATAATTATTATACTCCCAAGGGTAGCCTGCCACCACCCAGGGTTTTACTGTACTAGAATATAACTGATATCATCAAACTGTTAGGTAGTGTGGCAGACCTCGAGCTTAGGCAAGTGAGTGTAAGTATTTTTTGAGATACAATTAGTAGAAGGAAATGAGTGGTGATATTCGCAGTTTTCTAAAGCAATATTTATTGACAGCAATAGTAAATAAGATGTAAATTTAACACACTCAGACAAAAATGGACCTACAGGTCTTCTTTTCTTTTATCCTCTTCACCACTGATCGACTCGCTAGCCGCCCGGGCGATCGGTCACGTCTCTGTCACGCACTGTTGGCAAGTACTGGGCATGCACCGGCTCCTGAATGTACCTGAACCCGCTCCAGTGTTGGTCAAGTCTTGTCTTGAAAGAGCTCACACTCGGTGCAGTCACAACACTTTCTGGTAGATTGTTCCAAGAGTTCACAAAACTCACTCCAAAAAAGTTTGCCCTCACAGTTTTCTGGACTTGCGGCTTCTTCAATCTTGAGCTGTGACCCCTTGTGGGGCGAGCGTCCTCCAGCTCCAAGTAAGGACACTCAACTGAGTAGTGCCCTCTGAGATGTTTATACACCTCAATTAGGTCACAACACTCTCTGGTAGATTGTTCAAAGAGTTTACAACCCTCACTCCGAAAAAGTTTGCCCTTACTTTACAAGTAGCCAAAATAGATCTTCAATTATTTGTTACAAGACTCAAAAACTGTTAGGTATATTAATCTTTGACAGTAAAGATGGTTATCTTAGACACTTGTCAATATTCTAGATATAACTACATTAGTTATAACATCATGTTATGTCGGAATGAACAACATGAAACATTTACCAGATCTCAGTTTGTGGGTAAACATTGATGGTCTACTCACAACACACAGCACAATTTAATACATGTACTGGTAATATCACTATTTGTGGTTACAAGACTCAACTTGGGACAATTATATTTCTGCTATTTATCCCCAATCATATATACAATAATACTTTGCTTATATAACTGTGATTATTACACCAGGCCCAGGGTCAGTCACTGGTGTTCCAAAACAAATGAAGTACGGTGTTAGCGTCGGTTGCAGTCCGACGCATGGCTAGGGAGCTCATCTTAAGGATGTTAGTTCCCAGGGGGCGGGACTCGCTGAATTAATCGTGCCAAATTAAAGACATCCTACAGGACAGCCAGCTGGTATGCAGCTACCGGTCTCCCGGTAGCTGCTGGCTATTTAGCTGACACCCATTCTGTGCCTGGAGATACGATGAGGAGGTGTGACGAGAGTGTCCTAAAAAAAATAAACTCAATCACAAACAATCATTCGTCTGGCAACAACAGACGATATTTACGTTATGTTACTTCTTTACTGGGCACAAGACAATTTCACTACAGTATGTTAAAACATGAACACTGATATTCACAAAATTCAAGTGATTTAAACTGACTTAATATGGCAGGGTGGGAAACTAACCACATTCCTGGAGATACGATGAGGAAGCGTGACGAGAGTGTCGTGCTCCCTGTGCACTCGTTTATATACGGGCTAGCTGGCAACTTAGGCATGCCAGAAATGACAATTCACGTAAAGACAGAATTTTAATTTAAATCAGTTGCTGTACATTTGGCTATGAAACTCAGTGTCATGCATATGGTGAATTTCTTACACCTATTGTTACAATCTAATTGGAGTTGAGCTTGCCAAGAAATATTGAAATGGACATTAAATACACAAGCTGACAACGTTTTTCTTACATTCTCAGCAAAATTTTAGACAAGGACCCTCTATGGGTATATGGTTAGATCCTGGAGATAAGAAGTTTGACATATTCTTTTCAGGAGATTAATGACTTTATCAATTACACAACTGATAAAAATTTAACTACAAACATCAGATTCTCTGATGTTTGGGCAATTCAAAGATCGAACTTCAGTAGCAATTGGAAACTCATGGCATTCCCCAAGGGCGATATTAGGATTTGTCATTCTTACTAGCAGGCTCAAGAATCACTTATTTGAAAAGTTTTACTAACAATAAATACAATTGAAGCTTTCAACATCACTCACAAAGGATCTTGAATGTTTCATCTGTAATCAGACATATCTAATACACTATAATATTACTGGATTCTCTCTCAATTTTAAATCTCCGAAATCTACTTGAGGGATTCATAAATATCATAGTTTCGGAGACACAAGATTGAGAGAAAACGGGGGACTCAGGGGTCCTTAAGCGATAAGAATATGGATGCCTCAGATGGGAGATTTGATAATGAAGGCATAGCTACATGTTTTATGTGATATTGAGCGTAATATAAATTGTCTGATTTTACGTTAACTCACATGTATTACACTAGGACGGGCAGCAAGGTGAACAACAAGGGTTTTCATTAAGAACTCTCCACTTGCATTAGCTGTAAACAAAACTGTAATCCTGTCCTTTTAAGTCTTCACACCCCTTACCTGTTTTTCATCCTCGGCAATAAAAGTGGTCTTATGTGAGCGCTTCCAGAAAATGTCAATTTCGTCACAAATGAAGATCTGGTCTCGGCAATACCACCCTCTTTCACAAGAACTTGAAGACAGGTGGATATTTTTCTGCTGCTATGACGTCAGCTGATGCACTCTCCCCATGGGAGTGGGCAAACTTGACTTCATAACACTTCTTAAAAGCAGCCAACCAACCAACAGAAGCATTGAATGGTGGTGGAGAGTTAACACGTTTCTTCTGTGAAACTGCACCATAATAAACATGTGCTTGATGCCTTATCTGTGGCCCAGACAGGTCGCCCTACTAACGGTTTCTTCTTTCTACCCACTTATGAAGGTAATGTTCTGTGACGACAAGCTTTAGGTTTCGTTGTGGAACATCGGAGAACGTCCTGTTACTAGAAAATCATGAGAATACATTCACAGATGCAGTTAAGGCTTCCTTGTTCTTCTTAAGGGAACGTATGGTTGATTCAAGGCAGTTGAACCTACACATGATTTCACAGGTACAAGCATCACTTTTGATCAGGTCAAGCATCTCTCGTTTCATTTCAAGGGTGTATTTCATATTCTTGACCCCCTTACAGTAGTCATGCTTTCCTAGTTGACCACAGTGACTGTCAACTTCATCCTCTCCATGGCTATCATTATCACCAGCACAACTCCTGACATTAACATCACGCACCTCACTCATCGTTAGTATGCTAGAATCTCCCGAAAAGTAAGCACAATGGGTTATATAATCCAAGGTCGCCATGCCTCTCGCACACTCAAACAATGGTAAACAAAAAGACTGCAGATAAGAACTGGAACGCGAAAATGTGCACTGCCCGCTCTCCCTTGGCTCGTGAAACCAGTAATGAAAATCGAAAATGATGAAAAGCTGGAAATTTTAGCGATTGATTGATTGATTGTGATAATTACCTCCCTGATGATCAACAGCTTAGGTCATATGTCGCTAAATTAAAATAAAGACTCAAAAGACTAAAATCAAATAATGCAAGGTAAAAAAATTTTTTTTTTAGAAACAAAGAACATAGAACTTTTGT